GACCTAGTGGACTGATGGGTGGAATGTTGTTAATATTTTTCATTATTTCATAATTCATAATTCTGAAATCTGGTGTTTCTATGTCAAGTGGTTTTGTTATATTTCAGTCTTCTGTGATGTATATAAAGTTTAATATTGGGATGCAAACTCATTGGGACAGGCGTCTTCTTTTTTTAAAGACCATAACCATGTGTGTAAGGTGTTTTTTGTTTCAATGTAGATTTGTTTAAGACTACCAAGAGACACTCTGTGTGACCCTGATTTAGCCCACTGCAGTAAAAGGTTATTAATTATATAAGTCTATGAGACTGGAGAACAAGGATGGAGGGACTGTTAATGAAATACATCTATGAGACTGGAGAAATCAGTCAACAGTCTGGAATAGGACATCACCAGCCTGGGATGGGATGGAGGTTCATTGAAGAACATGGTTGTAGGTCACAGGGCTGGTCAAAAGTAGTAGACAATATAAGGTGCAATTTAGGACATAGAAGTGGGGACCAGCCAACCAGAAACCTAATAACCCTCCCAGCACCCAGTGGTAGTAGGCTGCCCGAAACACAACCCTTCACGTCCATCCACAAGTCCCCCAGGGAGCAGCTAACATCATGATCCCAGTGCAACCTACCCACGTCAATACGTATCCCAGACGTCCATCCACAAGTCCCCCAGGGAGCAGCTAACATCATGATCCCAGTGCAACCTACCCACGTCAATACGTATCCCAATACGTTTCTAAATGTGAGCCGTATAAAGGCATTGATTGACTGCTACATGGAGAAATGACAGCAGGTTTATAGTCAGAAATGCGTCCTAAAGATCACCCTAATTCCTTTGTTGTGCACTACCTTTGACAAGGGCCCATAGGGCTGGGGTCAAAAGTAGTGCACTATATAGGGAATAGGGTGCCATTTGGGACGCATGCCAAGTTCTTGATTGCGGTGGGTGGCGTGAGGTGTGGTCAGGGAGGATATAGAATAGCAATTTCCATTCACTTTAAATATGACAGGAAGGTATGCTAAAGATTCCACCATCTAGTGAGGCCATCTGAATTAAAGGTATGAACTGAACCGTCTTTCTAGTGAGGCCATCTGAATTAAAGGTATGAACTGAACCGTCTTTCTAGTGAGGCCATCTGAATTAAGGTGTGAACTGAACTCTCTAGTGGGTTATTATTAGATGAGTCAGCAGAGGGAGTTGAAATGTATTGAAATTAAATGTATTGTTTTGTTAGCCATGATTTGGTTGCCATGTCTCATTCAATTAAATTAGTTTTATAGTAATTGCAGTGTTTTGATTATTCTCAGGAATCATGATTCCATGCGGAGATGGTTTCTGCTCATGCTAAACAAATATATTTTTAAATATTGTGCCCTGTGTAGACAGATTGGTACCCCCTCAATAGGCCTTTGACATTTTTCCAATAACATTTTGTCTGAACCCCAGCCAGAGTTCGGTCTGCGGTTAGCTAGGCTGTTGTTGGGGGTTTAGAGAGGAGTTTATCCCAGTGACTGATGTCTGGTTACTTAGAGAGTTATTTAGTCTTTCTGCCCTGAGGGGAAGGCTGTTCAGCATGCACCTACAGACAGACAGACAGACAGGTTGGGCCCCTCCAGCCCCCGGGCCCCTCACGGCCCCTCAGCAGCCCAGACTGAAGACTGAAGACTGAGCACTGGGCCAGAGGTCAGGGGTCACCACTAAACAGAGCTGGACCTATTGTCTCCGACTAGGTCGGCCACATCCACCGATGAAAATGCAATCAAAACAAACAGACCAGCCGATCCGGGGGCCTTCTCCTGTGTCATCATTAATCACACCTTTAAAGACTTCAGCCCTTCACCCTCTCGTCTGTCAGCTCTCCCCCTCACCCTCTCATCCGTCAACCAGGCTGGAAGAGGGACATGACGTCTCAACAATAGACCGCTCAAAGGTGTCTCCTCTCCGTTGCATGCTTTTACTGTGGCCATTCTGGCAAAAGGGTCTCAAACCAAGTGGTTTGAATGGTCAAAAGGAGAGGGAAAATTCTAAATGAGCATCTCAGTCCGAAACGTGCTACCTTG